GTGGTAATTTGAAGAATGATCACGGTTTTATCTTATTTTGTGGATATATGTCACACATCCGCCATCGTCTATATCGACAGTATAATAATGTTCATCACAACAGCGGCGGGGATACTTTGGCTTCACCTCGGTTGACAATGAGCTCTCCGGGCCGCTAAAACTGTATGTCCACCGCTTTTAGGGTGATCATTTGTATTATTACACCGAATAAATTACTCCATCATGACAGTCTTCCAGGTCACCCTCGTAGTGCCGAATAAATGTATATGAAAAAAATGCATTATTGTATGGCAAACACAGTACTGATTTGCAGCAACGATAGCCGAACGAGATGTAAGCGCCCAGTGATTTTCTGTTACGTCGGTCAAATATAGTGCGTCCTCAGTTTTGGCAGTGTTTGAAATTGGCTGTATTGCACGAGGCGTCTCAATTGTGTTGTTAGAAACAAATTACGTTCCATTTATAAAGTGTTGTACACAAGATATGTAATTATGTATTTAATATAATAGAAAAAAGTAATAACAGATGTTCATCAGAAGATGGTTTCATAGCGCTCAGCGAGGCGTATTTGACACTGCACGAACAGTGAAGGTCAGTGTGTCACGCCTTTAATTCACTGAATGGGTATCTGGGTGTTGAATGTTCGTGTCGTGGTTCAATTAATAATTGACGCAATAAACCTGATGACGTCATGGTGTCCTAGGGTTGTTGCTGATCGTTATCTTGTCCACTGGAGTCCAAGCTAGTCAGGTCAAGCAAGGCGTGATCCTGAAATATGGCGAGCAGATCCACGTACTATCATAGCTAAACCCAACGGTAAACATCGGATTCCGAAGCCAAACAGGAGAGAAAGCCCGGCACCAAGGTTGGGGAGGTAGAGTTCGACGATTCAATTCGTGAACTTCAGTCGCTGGTTACGTGCAATTCACCGGGCGATTGATAAGAATCGCCACACGTCGGAAATGACAGGTACCGAACATACACATGTGATTCATGGGCTTTCAGTTATCATACTAAACTTGTAACTTATATAATTGTTATTTTCCTGGCCAGTTTATTTCTGTGATATTATACAAATATGTACGCCACATATTGGAAAATCGTTCCTCCCTCTTGTCGCAGGATAGTTGGCCTTCAATTTAGAGTGCCCTTTCCAGTACACTCAAACGTGGTTTTGGGCTATGTAAAAACGTATACCACATAGAATTTTATTTCATCACAGTTTCATGACTTTAGTTCATTATGATGGGAACTCATACGCGCAGTCTTAGCCGTATTTAAGGACCACTATTAGCTGTCTAGACCGACTCTTTAGTCTATTATTCGTAGATTGTTCAAGGCCGCAAGATAATTGACTTCATCGACCTTGCTGTGTTGGTTTGAATGCCTAATTTTGTAATTCCCTAATTCTTACCAACTGAGTATCCACACTGATGCGTGGTGTAGGTCGTGTTTGGCACTATACTGTTACCGGAGACGAGAGTCGAACATAATAAACTATGGTTTCAAGTAGTTCATATGTGGCTTTCTATGTGACAGGTGTGCATTGTTGCTTCCAATTATTTATGTATATAATTGTATTTAACTCCATTGATTTCCATTAGTCTCGATTAAACCCGAGTTACAACACGAATTGTGTAATTTTAAATCGGTTATAAATCAGCCCCGAGGTGGTTGATTGAATATTTTTGGGTAAGCACTTGACCTGACCCAGTGACAGGCCAGCTACCATGATACGTTATAGCGATTTTATATTTGGATCGCATTTTTGCAATGAAAGTGAAAATAAATTTAAATGGTAATTAAATATCATTTGTATGGGAGTTAGAGGGGGTTAATGTAATGTATATTACATCCCTCTATGTCATTACATCTGTCACACAACTAATCGCGTGACGTAGGTCCACTCAAGGTGCATGTATAAGTGCAGTTGCTTTGGTAGTTTACAAGAGTAAGTCAACATTGAAGCTGCATCAGTGTAGTCCAAGCGGAAGCGGCTTATTTTATGAACTGATAATATGATAAGTAGGGCGTATGCATTTTAGGTCAAGTGAGAGGTTATTTGTTGTACAGTGTCACAGATAAGCTATTGCTGCATGTAGTTATTTTGAAGTTTAAGAAAACAAAGAAAACTCAAAATTGCGGAAAGTGACTGATTAAATATATTTTGAGATTCTTAAACAATTAAACATATTTAACTGTTTTCTGTGAGTATTTGATTCTTATGGTACTATTTATTAATTTCAGCAAGACGTAACTATTATTGCAATGGTTTAAAACATACGTGATGGCTTATATCTTTTGCGTTCATATCAGTAAATCAACCAATGACAATATGTAATGGGCGATGCCAAATAGTTTTATCAGCCTTTAAAAGCAACAGTAGTTTTTGGTCTGGGGATTGATCTTTTTTATTCATGGAGCAGCTCATTTATCCTTTTTCTTATTTATTTGATGGTAGTCATGTGACCTCAGCCTTAAAATTGTGAGCGTGCCAGACAATCTTAAGGATGACAGTAGTTTTCGTCGTTGTCAGATGGATATATAAATATATAGTATATTATATTATTATATTATTATACATCTGTCACCAAAACGCAATAAGTTAAAGCGTGGCGTAATTTTGCGGTATTTTACGGGGCATGTTCATCCTACCATATAAGGAAATGCGATTTCCAAATATGGAATGCTTACGCGCGTAAACGTCATCTAATGATAAAAACAAACATGGCTGTCATTGGGATTTCACATGGCTCCACCCAAAGAAGTTCGCTGATTCTGTTCTAAAATATTGGATTTCGTCGGTCGATACTTCAGATCGACTGTCATCGTGCATACTTTGAGGTTTTCTCGTAATAATCTCATATTATAACCAGCATATTAATTGTGAAAATAAATCGACTCAAAAAAAATTTCGCCTATGGAATAAAGGGTAGTACTTGATAATACACAAGTGTATTAAACGAAAGGGCCCTAGAACATGAATTGACTACATATTTGAAAAAAACGAATTAAAATTATCTGGAAAACTATAAAACCATATGATTGCTTTCAGACTGTTAACATTGATATTAAATTGCTGAGTGTCGGTAGTTGTTTGCTAGTCGTTCACCACATAAAGCCAAACGAACGCCAGTTTCCGCAGAGTGTGTCGGTGAAACAAACCGTCTTGTCCTCCATGTTTACCTTTAAAATGGATTGCGAACCTCAACACGATATGTCAGTTGAACTGTTGTTCACCTAGATGATATTGATTGATTAAAAGATGAAAAAACGGATGGAAATTAGGAATTATGAAATGTTTCTTGCTTGTTTCGTTTTCACCGGTACGAACATAATGTTTACAAAAAAGTCGGGTGATGACTACGAGGTGCAGACAATGCATCTTAGTATTTACCCCACACTATAGGTACACTTGAATAATTATGAAGCCACAATGGCATTCGTGCATAAATTGGGATAATATCTATAAAAGGAAGTATGAACATGACGCCACAATAGATCGTGTGCATTAGTCAGCATATGTTATTATAAATGAAATTTGGATGATGACATCACAATGACATGCTGTGAATAAATGTGCAAAAATTAACTATGTTTAAATCGAGAGAGCAATGAGGTCGTCGTGAATAAATTAGCATAAATTACTTGTTTTTATATTTTTAAATTGGACGAGCAATGGTGTCACGTGGAACACTAATGACAAGCCAGTTAAAAATAATCCTATGCGGTCACACTTAATTCAGTCTCGTGATTTAGTGCAGACTGGCATTAATGGAGAGAGTATTGGAGTACCCAGCATTCTTCGTATCAAAAACATATGATAGTAGCGGGATGGAACCCATTGCGCCACTTTCTGTCTGAAATACCCCTGCCACAAAGAATATTTTGACTCGTACGGTTGTTATCACGCGGAATTTAAGAGATTTCACGAAAGAGGATCCATAATTATCGCACACTTCGATTTCAAGCATCATTCTCTTCTGTATGTGTGTGTGTTTAACCAATACGTCCTGCATTATTGTGCAAATATCGAGGAGATGACTCTTTCACGAAAAGGTCCAACTTGGTCTACCGCCGTTGAATCTTTGGCAAGGAGGCGAGTTTGGGAAGGTGATCTAATCAGCTAAATATATAGCATGTAATAGTTTGACTCATACGGTAGTCCGCCATTACACGGAGATTTTTCGAAAGCGACGCCCGTACGTGACTCGACCATACTTCGCATACTTCAAGCCTCATTCTATGCAGCGTGTGTGGTCAATAGTCTTCTAATACTTGTTGAGATTGACATTTAAATGACGTTTATGTGATCAGATATATCGAGAATTTTACCGGATTCAATCTATATCTGTTATCACATATTTTTTCTTACACAGTTTTACAAGCATACTCATATTTTGAAATTTCAAACAAGAACATATATTTTTTACCGTCTTTATATAATTATCAGATGAGCGATTCTGATTTTGAAGAAAAAAAGAGTGACTGAATAAAAAAGGTGTACAGACGGTGTTACTCATTGGAAGCTTAGACAACTAGTTCAACAGACTGGCAACGTCTATTGTTCAAGGTGTTGATCAGCTTAATTGCATATGCTGTGTGTGCTACGCTCGGTAGTGTCGATATAGACACCGTCAAAGTTTACCGAATATTCTGCACATTTCGCGTTTCTTCGGAAATTGCGTATTTCTCGTAAAAAAGATCCAGACATTTTCAAAACAACGGGAGATACGTTCTGAACATTTTGACACTTGCAGCTGTGTAAGAATATTAAGAATCGACCAACATTTAGGCGAGTTACAAGTAACTGAATGTCTTAGTATATACCTCAAATAGGTTTTGAATATATAATTAATAATATATAATCTTTGAAATGATATTTATCGCTTTTGCGGATTTTCGCGGAATGTTTCTGACATTTTATCGGGAAGAGCATATCACAGCGTTTTGAGCGATCATACCACTTTGTGTGTTAACAGTTTTGTTGTTGTTTTCAGGGGTGCCAAAACATGGGATAGCAGGTTTCTTATACATGATATCTCTCGGCGTATCAGCGTAATCCGTTTATTGGTAAAAATGGAGGGTATGTTATTTTGTTGCGTTGTTCGTAACTATCGTCCTCAGATTCGCTGAATTCTTCTGTAAATGCCATTTTCGAATTACGGTGCGGTCATGGTGGTAACCAGAATTACCTATGTCTCGCGATAGTTGATTGGAATATGAATTGATCGCGCGTTATTTTGTGAGATCTAATGATAATCTTGTTGCTCCGCAACGTTTTCTAGATATGATAAAAACTAATAACCCAAACAAACGTGGCACGCATTACTTCAATATAAAACGCCGCGCTGCCAGTCTGTTATTAGTTGTCTGTGTTGAGAAAAAGTAAGAAATGTACAAAAAATTAACAAAATGTTTATATGTGAAATGTATTATTTTTTAGTGATCACTGTTTATTTTTTTATTTTCTAAGGTTTTTAAATGGATTGTTTATGTACTCGTATTTCTCGTGGCGTTAGAAAGAAATATTTAACAAATCTATACATTTACACGCTATACAACTATTTTCTTTACTCCCATTGTATTTTTTTCCGTGGCGTTAAAACAAACTCAACCACGCCATAAATATATACTCCTTGTAAATATTTCATCAATTTTTACACTTCTTTCATGTAAAAACTCCGGTAGTTTGCAAAATGCCGTGTATTGTTTTTCACTTAAGCAGAGTGAATGGTTGTGCGTGCGTGAATGTGATCGCCATCTACGGTTCATTCAGGAAATTGTTACGTCACTACTCAACAAATATAAAAAATATATGCTAATTTATGCTAATTAATTTACGACGACCTAGTTACTACCTCAATTTAAACATATTTAATGCATGCAAATGTATTCACATCATTCATTGTCACGTCATCATTATTCAAACTACCCTTCACGCTCATTTATGATAATTTATTCTAATTAATGCACATAAATTCATTGTGACCTCATATTCAGAATTCATTTTATAGACTTTCTCATAATACCCGGTTCCATCTACCAACTAATTATGATAATAAACTTGGCATAGATAATAAGTATTTATTGTAAATTTGAGTTGGTGCTGGCATGAAATGTTATTTAGTGAATGTATTGAATTATCTAGCAGGATAATAATTATTCAACTAAAAAAAGAAAGAACACTTTTAGTCCACTGCGCAACATGTGGGTCAAGGTTCGATTCTTTCTGTCTTTTTATATGTTAAAATATCTGTACAATATGAGCGATGACATTGAATTTTAATTAAAATATCGCAATTTTCGTAAATCTGTGTTTGTTATTTTACAAGCTTAGGCATACTCCACTAAATATAAAGACATAATAACAATAAGAACTTGTGGGGAGGTCGGTCGATCGGCCGGTTGGGTGGCAATTATTGATTGACGTACATGTGGGGAGGTCAATGGAAGGTCAGTCATGCAAAAGCAGACATACTGAAGAATGTTGAAAGCTTGTCGTCACTTATGTGCACTTTCAGAGAATAGAGTTGTGTTTGATGTTCACTAATTACTGCGTAAATTGCATTGTTATTCATTCTTCAGATACGTGTGATTCATGTACATTATGGTGTCGTCTCTAAATTACCGCTCTGTAGCCATCTGTCTGACATGTCTAATATGTGCAATTCTCCTATATGCTGAACAGCGCAGTCGTACACAGTCATTTAAAGCCAATTACAGAAATTACATAAATGACAGAAACGAAAAGAATGAATCAAAGAACGTGTCTTTATGGAAAACAAATGCCCGTAAGTACAAATCTCACTTGCTGTTTAATATGTATTACACCTCAACCAGATTCAAACTTGGATATGTTTTTAACAAGTTTAAACTCTTAGATGATATAAATACCTTCGAATTGTTTGTGATTTGCATGTACAAGTGCATGTATAAACAATAATGATGATGTTTACATGACCAATTACTATTCAAGATTTGTGGCTAGTGCGTGCACCAGATCGCTAGTTTCAGATACATGTTCAAGGTACATTTGTTACAATTATGCTATAATTTGTTCTTGTAGTTATAGGCGATAGTTAGCATTACACCGAAACAGTCTGTATTCGACGATACTGGGGAAACAAGTGTTTTTACTTTGTTGTGAATGGATTGACCTCTGAAAATTCGTGCTGTGTGATAGGAATTTTTGTTTTTCATTTATGCTTTATGATTAAGGAATAATTTCCGATGAATTTCAAAAAGAATGAATAAAAAAGAAAATGAAGTCCCACAGTAGTGATCTATGGATAATAGGGTAGCCCAACTGACTTATGTTATGTTATGTTTGCAATTCGTCAATAATCAGCAACAATTCTGGGTGCAACAACAAACATTAACAAAAAATAGTATAGTCCTTGTAGATTTCTGACTGACAATATGTTCAAAAAGGGCATTCATTTTCAAGAATTGAAGTCAAAAAGAAAGTTGCCACAAGAACAAAAATAGCGACTTATACTGATAATTGGATTGATTGCACCTTCTATGCATTCAACTACAGTGAAACAAACCTCGGGACAGGCGACTCTACCAACAACATTTGTTTTTTTATATTTCAAAAATAGAATGCGATATACAATTAGCTCCAGAAAATAGTCTACCGATTGTGGCGTTGGCTAGTCGACCTGGTTGTGGCAACACATGGACGAGACATTTACTTGAATTGGCCACTGGAATATACACTGGGAGTGTTTATCGTAATATGATGCTGTTCCGCAATGGTAAGTAATGTTTTGTGACTTTTAGTTTGCCACAATGAGAAGACACTATTGAAGCCTAGTTTTCTATGTTATTTTCATCAAGGCAAGTTTGGCAAAATTCACATTTGGGGATTGCCAACTTATAGAATGGCAAGGGTAAAGTGACAACCGGGGACTGGGGGTACATGACATGTATTATCTTATGCTCTATTTTCAGGTTTTCGTGGCGAGACAGAAGACCTCAAAAACGGCAGAACTGTTGTTGTCAAGACACACAAGTATGACAAAACGCATATAAATTTGTTTGAGAAAGCCGTTGTATTGTTTAGAAACCCATACAGTTCTATCCTAGCAGAGTTCAATCGAGAAAAAGCGAATGAGACAAGAAACGCACCAGTCGAATCATTTCTTGAAGAAGGTAGGTTATATTTCTAGTAATTGCAATATTTTATTGTAAAGTGGTATGTATTATCTAATGTTAGGAGACCAACAACACAGGGTTGTTTTAATCACTTCCAGTTGCACCTAAGGCACTATTTGTATCTTAGAGTAAATGGCAGATTTGAAAATTTCGCACACATTAGTTCTGTAAATTTAAGGGCTTGGTCCAAATGCAAACAAATGTGAATAATGTCATATTTGAGCAATGCAATTTTGAAGGTTGGTTAAAATATTGCCAGTACTAGGTTACTTAACAATAGGTGATTTTCCGTACAATTGCGAGATCTCGCGAGATGCATGAAAGACGCACGTCGAACGTCTGCCGCAAAAATCGAACGATTTGATTTTGAACTAGAATTTCTTTATTTCGTAGCTTACATTGACCGGCCGATCTTCGACAGAGGAATATTGCTTCCGAATACCCTTACTTAATCGAAATTGCCTATCATCAAATGTGGACAGCACATTATTAAGCATGGAAATGTCCCCGAAATACTTTCGCGTTTGTCGAATCCCACGCGATGTTTGACGCGACTACGACGCTATGACCATTGTTTGTCCTGTTTTTACGTTCGATTTCACGCTTAACGCGTGATTCTCGCAGTGAACGGAAAATGGTCTATTGTTCTTCATCATTTCAAAATGTTGAATTGGGCGTTCGATTCTCAATATACTTGTTGTCTCATCATTAAGGAATAAATGCAGGTTCATAGGCGCTCGGATCCATAACATGCATTTTTATTTTCTATATTATTTATACATGATTGTTTTGTTTTTGACATTGTATACGTTTTGATCATTAAGTTTGTGAAGATTTAAGGTTTTAAACCTAAATAGCTACCTGAAATTGTGTAAATTGCATAGAAGTTCACATTTGAACTTTATTAACAACACAACACAAGTAAGTCATACCCCCTGTCCGGATTGTACATACAGTT